TGTACTCATATATATATATATATATATATATATATATATCTTTAAGACAAACTGTGCGAGAGTGGATTCGAACCTCCGACCTGAAAGATCTTACATCGAGCATGTCAACCAAAATGTCAAGGTACGCGACACTCATTTTTAATATGTATATATAATAAAGTGTCAAAATAATTCTCAACTATTTATATGGGGTTGTTTTACTCCTAAATTTTTTAGAATGTTAAAATAATCTTAGATTATAAAATTGAGTTCTAATAGTCTTTCAAGAGGACTATTTCAACCCAAATTTAGAGTCTGTTTGGGGTAAAGCTTCTACAATATAATTTGATGTTTAAAAAACTGCGGTGACGGTATAAGTAGTTAATGACTTTATTATTATTATTATCATCATCTTTGTTGTGATTTGCATGCATAACATTAAAAAATATATCATTTACATACTTGACATCTAATCAAGGGCATTTACATGCATACCCCTAATTCTTATGTGTTTATATATCTAACAAGGAACTCCTAAACTTCATAAATTTCTACCACCCAAAATTCTCCAATCACATAAAAAATGTTTTTTATTTTAATTTAAGAAAAAAAAAATAGAATCCACCTTTCCATTCATGGTTGAAGCAACATATATGTAAAAATTGAAGTTTACGTGTTAGACGTGTAAATACACATGAATTGAACGACACGTATGTAAATATTCCTAATTATAACCCGCACAACATTCCAAATTATTATAAATTCAAAGTTAGTTGGTTAAATTTGTCGGTGCTATGCAAGTGCAATATTGTTATCAAAATTGTATGGACAGATACCGTGTTAGACGTGTAAATACACATGAATTGAACGACATGTATGTAAATATTCCTAATTATAACCCCCATAACATTCCGAATTATTATGAATTCAAAGTTAGTTGGTTAATTTGTCGGTGCTACGCAAGTGTAATATTGTTATCGAAATTGTACGGACAGATACTAGCTAGTTGTTTTCGAGCTTTGCACGGCTAGGTTGAATTGAATCATGAGGCGAATTCATCGTGATTATACTGAGTTCATCTTGAACCGAGCGAGTTCATCGTGATTATGTTGAGTCCATCTTGAACCCAGTGAGTTCATCGTAAAATACACGCTCGAGATCATTTCCTATATAAATTTCACATTTAGTTGCTTCTTTAGTTTCTTAGGGTCTATATTTTCGTGTTTCACACATAACACTTTATTTATAGATGAAAAAGCTGAATCTGACCATTAAATTATAATAATGAGTGCTACTTTTTTATATGATATTTTTTAATTATAAAATTTTGATATAAATATGAAAATTTTAGGTGATTTGTATGTTAAAGCACATTTGCCCCTCACTCTTTTTACCGAAAAATTATTCCGTGCGGAGAGTATGGCGGATTGGGGGCCGGTGGTGATCGCCGTGGTTCTGTTCGTTTTCCTGACGCCGGGTCTTCTTTTCCAGCTTCCCGGTAATGGACGGGTGGTGGAGTTCGCCAACATGAGAACGAACGCCGTCTCCATCCTCATTCACGCCGTCATCTATTTTGCCCTAATAACCATCTTCGTCATAGCCATCGGCGTCCACATCACCACCGGTTAGCACTTATCTCTTCTTCCCTGTTCTTGTAGTTATGAAAATTTTCAAAGCTGAAAACCTTTGGACTTTGTTTGTCGCCATCGTCTGCTGCTCAAAGTTTTCTTTTATATGGCTTGATTTCCTTTTTTGATGTATATATTGATTATTTTTGTTGGTTTTCGCATCTCTGTGCTATCTCTTACACAGGTTGAAATCTCCGTTTGATTACATTTTTGAGGTTTTTTTGTCAGCTGATCCTTGATACTGATAATATTATAATTAGATGATATGTAACTCCCTTTAATCCATTAAGATGAAAATCTCTTTTCTAATCTGATCTCATGGTTCAAGAATCTATTTAGATAATTTACAGAATATGAATCTTTGTTGGCTCTGCAATGGATCAGTTAAGTTTTGGGCTCATGTGGTGCAATATTTTATGATTTTATTTGTCAGAAATGTATGAAAAAATTGCGAAAAAATTGCAAAAAACTGTCAAAACAAGGGTTGAATTTTGATTTTGTTTTTGACTTTATTCTGTGCCTGGTTCTATCGTTTCAGCATTGTTTTTTTTTTTGTTTTTTTTTTGTCTGTGGATTCAGAAAAAAAAAATATATGTAGTTGTAATCAAATAGAATTAGAAATTTAGCAATTTAATCTAATTTAATTATATAAATGCGAAGTGCAACCTGAAACAAACTTGTATATGTGTTAAAACTAAAGGAATTTTATTTTTTTTTTAAGAAATTAATAATTTAATTTAAATTTGACAAGGGGTCCAAGCTGATTCTAAAGGAAATTTGTTTATGCAGGAGTTGACCAATTGTCCAGTTATATTTTTGGGACATGTAAGTACTGATACCGGATTTATAAAACACCCAAAGGAAATAAAAAAATTACAACAACACAATACTAGAATAAGGGTTAGATCTAGGGTGTAGGTGGTGCCGGCTCGGGGTATGGACCTCTGGGGAGGTGGAGAGCGGGGTCAACCAGCAAGTTGCAAGTATGATTGTAAAAAAAAACTTGTTGTTCACGAATAGCTCGTGTTCTATTCATTAAGTAACTCGTGTTTGAATCATTCGTTAAGTAAGCGAATCGAACATTAAAATTTTTTTAAGCCCCAATTATAAACAAGCCGAACACGAACGACTTTTTGTTCGATTGTGTTCTTCGATTCTTTTTAGCTCAAAATAAGAAATTACATATATTATTTATAAAATAATATATTATATATATTTATATTTAAGTTTAAATTATCACAGCTTGTGAGATTATGTGGTTCTACATCTTTTATTGCATAGAAATGGTGCGGGTTTGAATCTAACACCCTACATTTATTTTTGAAATTAATTTAAACTAGGCAATTTTGAACCGAACACGAACAATAAGGATTTGTTCATGGCAGTTGCAAGTGTTTGAAGAAGCAAATGCAATTATTTGAAGAAGCAACTGCAGTTGTTTGAAGAAGCAACTGCAGTTGCTTGAAGAAGCAGTTGTGAAGCTGTTGAAGAAGATGTCCACAAAGCTGCGATGACTATCACAATTTTTTTATCCTGAAATAATCAGATTGCAGCTTTCCAGTAGCAATCACATGTTGCTAAATTCGTGGAAAAATTCAACTTTCAACTGAGATTTTTTGAAATCACAGACAAAACACAGTTTGGATAGATCCTATTGTCACTGCTCCGCCGCATCAAACGCATCCTAATATGTAAATCGAGTTGAACACAAACGCATTGTTCATGAATAATTTCGAACACAAGCCAAACACATGCCAAGCCCGAGTTCTCTCAAGTTGGGCTCGTTTACTACCCTAGTTGGAAGGTGGAGTTGGGGAAGACAACGACAATAAGGGGAAAAGCAGCGATCAACAAAGAAAATAAGAAAGGGGACGTGGGCCGATGTGAAAGGATGGGGGTAATATATAGGAAGGATAAACATCACCTGGAAACCAAGATACAACTGAAGCATCACTTGCAACCCTAAGATACTATCGTAAAGAGAAAATGAGACGCCAACAATTTTCCCAAAGTAAATCACCAAAAAGATTGAACCATAACCATTAAGAAGAGCAAATATGTATTCCTAGATAAATAGTAATGGGATCCCTCTTAAGAAGAGGCGAAACTCTCCTCTTTAGAAGGCCCACCGACGTTGGGAGTGTTGTTCTGTGGTGACAAGAAGGAAAACAATAAAGGGGATATGGGAGCGATGTGGGGAAGGATGGGGGAAAGGTATACGAACGGTAAATACCACCTGGAGAGCACCACTGAGAACCTTTGGATACAACCCACAAAGTGAAGATGAGATGTCCATGTCTCTCTTAAAGGAAAGCACTGAAGAAATGAATCATAAACACCAACAAAAGCAAATATATATTCCTATATAACTTGGAGTAGGCCCCCTCTAAAAAAAAAGTGGGGGGCACTCCACTTCCTAGTGGGTCGGCTGGCCCTGAAGACCTTTGGACTGAATCTCTTCAGGTAACAGGGCCGAGGAGAACAAAAACACCGTCTCACATACACACCCCTCAATTCTTGTATATTTACATATCTAACACCTAAACTTACATATTTACACATATAAAACCCAAATTTTTAATATCAAATAAAAATTACCACCCCTTAGAACTTTTTAGAAGTTAAATATAGCTTTTCTTAGGTATGTAAAAATTGAAGTTTAAATGTTCGATATGTAAATACATAAGAATTGAGTGGTGTTCATGTAAATCTTCCTAATTAATTTATGCTTCGTCCTAATTTATAAATACATGGAAGCTGTGTAATTCAAGGATTACAACAAAACCTATTCTTATATAAATATTAACCTGTTACATATGCTTTTATATTTTAATGAAAAATTTTCCATCTTCACGATTGGGAATAAACTTTGAATTGGTCAAAATCTGCTCAAATCGGTCCAGAAGTGTCAAAAGTTCTGGACTTTCACTCTGCTTCAAGTGATTTTAATTAAAAGTTCATTCCATACTGATTAAAGAGCAGGCCTACACTTCCTTTATAACTCTGTCACATGTATACTTATATGGAGCTGAAACGAGCTCGAGCTCGAGCTCGAGAGCTCGTGGCTCAATAAGCTCGGCTCGTGAGCTTGTTAACCGCATACCATCAATCTTTTTCATGCATACCCAAGTTTGCGATAATTTGAACTAAGATTCAAACCTCGGTTCAAATCAATACAGAGGAATTAGATTTTAATAAACAAATACATGAGATTATCTTCCATTAGGATCAATTTTCGAACATGTTTATTCAAGTACAAAATATAGGGCAAATTACATAAATACCACATAAAATGGTATATACATTCATAAAACTGGAGTCATGAGAGGGTGAATTTTTCTTTTAAAAAGTTATTAATAGTGATATCTTTTAATGTGATACTGAATATCTCAAGTGTTGTGTAGTTTAGAAAGTAAGTTCAGTGGTTGGATCTGTAAATATGTAAGATTGTGTGGTCTTTATGTAAGTGCCCCTTTTATCATTCGATATAGGACAACTAATAAATATAGATGTGCCAAACTAAATGCAAAGCAAATTACGTATAATAAATGAAAATAAAATTCTTAGTTTTAGAAAATTTTTAGAGTTTCGATGCATTTTTAATAAGAAATATTTTAAATTTAAATTCAAGAACATTTAAGCCTTGATTTTAGTAAATTTGTGGTCAAATTGAGTGTCTTGACAGGATGAAATCAATGAAATTGAAAATGATCTAATCTAAGTTCGAATTCGTATGAATCGAACACTTTAATTATTGTTAAAGGTTTTGGTGCATCAATTTGATGACCAAATGATCTCAAATCTTGGCGTGCTTATATTCAAATCAATAATATTAACGATAGGAATTTAATGCGCTTAAGATCATTCATTTCTGAGATTATTAAGATACTCAAATATTTAGAAAATTATTTATGATTAAGGTAATCAATAAGGACTATTTGATAAAGTGTTTTGGAAGATTGGTCGATTTTATCAAAATGCCCCTAAAAAATTATAAATATACTTTCATTCTTCACCTAAAGAGGACGAGGAGAGCAGAGGAGAGTGGACTGACTATTAAAACTTCACTCTTAAAATATTGGTGTTTGTTGCCAATCATCAGAATTTGCTGCCGACCACTAGAGTAGAGTTCGATGCTGGCCACTAAAGTTCGTCATTGACCGCCATCAACAATTGCTACAATTAACTATGACTATTACATATGACAACTTACTAAAGTTTTTGTAGCACAATTATATATGTTATAGAGATGTGTTTGTCATTTCCGTAATCTCATCTTCCCTAATTCATGAGCAGAATTAATCTACGTACTTTTAATTTCTTGATCAATTACTTTGACTGGCTCTGACCCCATGATTTTTTTCTTTTCGAGGGTTTTTTCATATAAAAAATTTAGTTATCTCCATAAAAGTCATGGAACATTTTCTATATAAGTGTTTAAAATTAAAAAAAAAAATCAAGCAATTTAAATATACTAAATTTGACGAGCTCTCAAGTAATTGAACATATTACTGATAATAAAATTTTAAAATATTGAATTTATTTTAACATGTTTATGATGAATGAATAATCAATAAATATTTACATTATATTTATTGCAAGCTATATCTAAATATTTTAAATCCAGTTTAAATAAATTGAAACCAGCATATCCCAACTCTATTTATTTCTTCCCATTGACCATTCCCAATAAAAATTTACATAAATACCACTCAATTCTAATATATTTACATTTCGGACCCCTAAACTTCTTTTTTTGACGTATAAATAGACAGCTTTGCAGCAGCTGTGGCTAGGGCTGTCAATTTGGCTCGTTGTTCGTGAACAGCTCTTGTTCGGCTCGTTAAGCAGCTCGTGTTTGGCTCGAACGAGCCGAACACGAACAAATTTTTAAGCTCAAAATGTAAATGAGCCGAACACGAACAACAGTTTGTTCGCTCGTGTTTGGCTCGAAATGACTCGAAAAAAAAATTATATAACTTTTTATATAACAATA